GCTGAGAGAGAAAAACAAAACCGTGGTCCTGCAATGGATTCCTTGTCGCTGTGCCATTAAAGACAATGAGCTTTCTGACACACTTGCTGTGAAGGGGACAACAAATTGCAAGGCATAGACCGGCCGATGTCTTTCCACACAATGAGGGCCTTAATCAGAAGAGAATTCCTACCAACGAACTCAAAGCTCGAACAAAAGAGAAACAGTGGACAGTGGCACTCTCCGACATAGCCGACTAGCCAAGAATCAGAAACAGTGGACAGTGGCACTCTTCGATATAGCAAAGGAGAAACAGTGGACAGTGGCACTCTCCGATATAGCCCCAAGGAGAAACAGTGGACAGTGGCACTCTCCGACATGCAACGAACTTAAAGTTCGAACAAAGGAAAAACAGTGGAGAGTGGCACTCTACCACATAGAGGAGAAATAGTGGACAGTGGCACTCTCCGACATACCCGGCTTTCCAGACCTCAAGGTTCAACGAACTCAAAGCTCGAACAACAGAGAAACAGTGGACAGTGGCACTCTCCGACATAGCCGACTACGAGAATCGAAGCCGTTGCTGAGTTTAGACTACGTATCGGACAGGATTGCCCCGTTGATGAGTTTAGACTACGTACCGAACACGATTGCCTATAAACACCTTCACAGATTGGGAGTATACACTCAACTCACATGTACACCTTCACAGATTGGGAGTATACACTCAACCCACATGGACCTTCACAGATTGGGAGTATACACTCAACCCACATGCCCCCTTCACAGATTGGGAGTATACACTCAACCCATATGCCCTTTCACAGACTGGGAGTATACACTCAACCCACATGCCCTCTGGATTGGGAGTATACACTCAACCCACATGCCCCCTATGTAGCCTGGGAGTATACACTCAACCCACATGCCCTCTATGTAACCTAAGAGTATACACTCAACCCACATCCCCTCTATGTAACCTACAGGAGGAAATGGTATACACTCAACCCACATACCCTCTATGTAACCTACAGGAGCCACTCAGCCCCCTCTTCACAGATTGGGAGTATACACTCAACCCACATGCCCCCCTATGTAACCTACAGGAGGAAATGGTAATGATTCGGTGTCCAGCCCTAAAGGAGAAGACCCACCTGATTCGGTGTCCAGCCCTAAAGACAGGAAGACCCACCTGATTCGGTGTCCAGCCCTAAAGACAAGGAAGACCCACCTGATTCGGTGTCCAGCTCTAAAGACAAGCAAGAAAGCCAGAGATACTGGGAAGCAAGAAGACAGCTAATGAGCTGAAAGCAGAGTACGGGGAAGCAAGAAGACTGCTAATGAACTGCTATTAATTAACCGCTATAAATGTAATCCAGCTCTAAAGACAAGGACGGAAAGCCAGAGATACTGTTAAGCAAGAAGACTGCTAATGAACTGCTATTAATTAACTGCCGCAAGAAGACAGCTAATGAATTGCTATTAATTAACTGCTACAAAGAAGACAGCTAATGAACTACTATTAATTAACTGCTATATATGTACTCCCCCCCCCCTACACATGGGGGAAACTGAAGTCATAGTTTAAGGGCTAATGATAAATATCATAAAGCCTGCCATTTGAAATAAATAAATACTTTAGTCAAAATTCCACTTGCAACTTGCCGGTATTTAGGTAGAAGGTACAGGGTGTAACGCAACTTGCCGGTATTTAGGTAGAAGGTACAGGGTGTAACGTGGGAACTAGTATTATTTGAGTTTTTTATCCATAAGGTTGGCTTACATGATTGTGAATATGTCTATATCGTTGGTATGTAGGATTTTCTGGATTTGGATCATCTTGTCCTGTGACATCCTGAAGGATCTGTAAATGTTGTGACGGGGCGATTTCTCTTATAGCCCCGTTTCAAGCTAATTTTAATTACCTGAAGTCAAATGCCGAATTAAAGACTTTTTTACCGCATGAATATACGTTATCCAGGGTACGCCACGGGGAGGTGTGTCTATCGCGCAGCCCCAGTTGTCTACATAATTATGATGTTAATTAGTATACTCATGGCAAATTCCCATATATTTCTTCTAAGATATTTCAGTATAAAATAAGTTTCTTGATTAATGTTTGCTTTTAAATCTTGGAAATAATTACGATTAAGAGAGTGAACGAGAAAGGTAAGGAACCAATAAAACATTGAGCTTCCTTCAAGGTTGTACACTTGAAGGTCACATCGGTGGTTTTGTGCAAATGGCGACCCTCATGTATTCGAGATTCTTATACCAGTGTAAAATTGCTCCTGTGCTGTGCCGAGGGTAAACAGTACTTCATTAAATGATTTTCATAGTGCAAAAATAAGTCCATACCGACCATCAAAAGATGTAGAACCTCGCATTCAGTCCTTGGCAGCTAAATATCTGCCAAATTTTGTTACTCTTGAAGAACCATATCAGTTCCCGGATCGTCAATCCAAAATTAAGGTAAAGTTAATAAAAGACGATATTCCTTCAGTTTCTAAAAGCTTGCATGAAAGAATTCGATCACACAATTCCTTCGAATATTTTACACGAGATGGAAGATCTTAACTCGGTTAAAGATTATTTCTATCAGGAAACCGAACCTGAGGATAAACTCGCTGCTATGGTGGAGGAAAATGCAAGAAAGCTTAGCCTCCCATCTAACCTTGTCATTCAAGTTGAGCCTATTCGATTTGACCCCAACGACAAATCACTTTTCACAAAAACTGCTTTTCCGGGTAGGTCAACTATCATGAGTGGAATCGAAGAAAGCAAGAAATACCCTTCATACAAGGCATCCAAGGACCGAAGATTGCGAATTAACGCAGAGGATAACGTTTAGACCACTCCCTAGAGTTTGCAGTTGTATAATTAATATATGCCTGTTAACAAATTTAGCGCCTTTCTATCATTCTATTGGACGGGTTTATGTGCGATTGGCGAGCTTGCCGTCCCTGTCAACATTAAACATAAAACTAAATTTTCTACTCATGTAACATTCTATTCGGACGATTACCACAGTGGCAAGAGGATGCTACGTCATAATAGAATTGCCTGAAAGCGACACAAAGATGATACGAAGTAGGGAGTGATTTATTTACATTCTTGTCCAATTAACAACTGATTGCTGTACTTGTATCAACTTGCAAGAAATGAAAGGCAAGGTAACGCAGCTTTACAGTGGAATTCTCAGGACTTGTTGATAGAACCAGCCAGCCGGTTAATATCGTCTATACTTAGAGAATCCAAAGTAGAGGAAAGAAGCTGAAAATAAAAAGCGACGAACATTAATCCGGCGTTGATGCTCGATCAGATGAGAAATGGGTGCAATAAAAATTGGTTTTGGTTAAAATCTTACGCTCATAAATCTGGAGGTAATTGCTTGTGCCTCAGCAGGACTGTAGTCGGTTTGTAAATACTTTTGTAGTACCTGTTCGAAATGGGGCTTCCGCGGTGCCTTTATGGCGACCATGATTTTGTCTCCAGACTTTATAGAATAGTCCTTTAAGCTGCGGTGCTTATCTAAAAGAAATATAACATAAAAATTAAATAATGGGGCAAATACCACTAAGTGGAACTCCTTTGAATAAAAATGAGATTCTTTCACTTTCGACATCAAAATCAGACAGTACCTGAGACAGAATTTCAGCAACTGTTGTATCTTCCGTGACCTGCGAAATATATGGTCAAGTAAAATGCATTTCACCTTTAAATTCTTAGCCGGATGACCCAACCTCTTTAGCGTAATCTCCATCGTTAAAAATGACCCAGAATTGTAAATAGCGTAACCAATCAGAACGTAGAGGACACTAAGCAATTCATATGATATCAACGAATAGTTATTAATTATGAACTTTTATTTACTTGTTAAAATTTATAATAAAATTCCAATTCACTGAAATTTATAGGCACAATGATTAGCTTTGCAAATTTACATCCAGATAATTAAATGACAAGCTCAGTTTTGGATTCAAAATAATGAACATAGTTCATGTTCAAAATATTCACTTTAATGAGCCAGACTTTCGACTGTTTGTGTCATCGTGTTCCAATATATTGTTGAAATATCTTGCTTAAATCTTAATAAGAAGAGATGGGATCTCTTAATATGTGAAACATGAATCACTGCTCAAAAATATTCAAATATATTTTACAATACGTCATTATGACGAAAATTTTAACTTATATTTTATAAGAATGGACAAGTAATTTATTTAAGTAACTTACATGACCTGTTGCCATATATGGCATGAAATAGAAATAAAATTTTGATTTTAAGAAATATTAATTTTTTCTGAAATTACGGCCTTTAACTTACCTAAATTCTCAACAAATTAAAAGTGTAATATCTTAAAATATAGAATGCAATGAGGCTCAAATTGGTGTTTTGTAATATATACAGTTCGACATCGACTAAACTGGGGTGCGTGATAGACTTACCTCCACGTGGTGCACCCTGGGCAACGTATACTCATACGGCAAAAAAGTCTATTAACTGGCGATTGACTTCTGACGCAGTACTCATCCTACCTTTTCACTGCCTTCATGTCTGTCTCTTTACATCTGTAAATCACTCTTCTGTTCCCCACCCCTCGACTTTCTGTTACTTTGATGTTCCTTCCCCCTGTGAAGCCCGAAATCAGCTAAAGGGCTAATGATAACTATCAAAACGCCTGCCATTTGA